GACGCCAAGTGTTGGTGAGGGCCTGCCATCATCCTCCAGTGGGGTCATGAAGGTCACACCCTTTGACTTCTGGCCTCCAGCTCCACCCCTGCTGTTACCTGATTCTCCGTCATCCTCTGAAGGTACAGCGTCATCGTCTCTTGTCGTCTCACTAGAGGAGGAGTAGTGTCGCTGGGGAGGGCGCCGGTTACCAAGAAGATCCAAGACCTCATAGCGAAAGCTTGAGATATCCTGTTTTAACTCCTGGAAAGAGAGTGGGACAGGACTGCTGTGAATAAAATGTAATTATTGATAATATTTAAATAGGTTTCTGAACTGTGATGTTTTAGTAAAAACTTTATGCATCATTTAAACGAATTTTAAATACAGATAAAAGAAGAAGAGTGGCAGAAGTGATAAGAGAGGTCAGGAAACAAAAGAAGAAAAAATCATTACCGGAACAAGATCTACAGAAACAGGAGAAAAACTGTGGTTAAGCCAATACATTTTCATCAGGAAGGCTGCAAAGATGATTCTAAAGCTTAGAAATTGAATAAATATCTTATCTCAAAGGGGAAGAAGATGAAGAGGGTGAGGAGGGGTAGTGGGAGAGATGAGACTTAATGAGAGAAGGGAGGAGAAACAGTTTACAGAGGCAGGGGTGAAGAGGAGGGAGGAAGACAATGGAGAGAGGAAGTTCAAGGTCGGGAGACAAGCAAACGAGAGAAACCGAGTGGCTAAGTTAAGAAAGTGAGAGAAATGTGTGAATAAAGAGGGGTTTTGGTGGAGTGAGAAGGACTTAAGTCATTCTATAATAGCTTAATTCACTTACTCTTAATGCATTTCAAAGTCTTTAATGTCATTGTGGTGATTAAACAGTATATTCTGAGAAGAAACACACTGAGGTCAAGACCAGTGGGAGCTTCTGTACAGTGCTTTATAATTGACATTGTACAGTCAAAAAAGTTAATAATTACTCTGCACTGAAACTAATCTGTCACAGCCTCTCATTCAACACAGTATGAACATAAACAATGTGGTCATGTGGGCCATTATCAGTCCACCACCATCTGTAAGGTGTTTAACTCTTCATGTTTTCATTGGAAACGTTGTATTAAATTGTTATTAACCAAATGTACTGCATGTTAGTTTGCTGCTCAGCGTTGAGGTCACCTGTGGACAATGCCTACAGAGACTTTCAATCTGTTTACCTTAAGCTCTCTTTTTATTCCTGTCTCTGGCAGAAATAACACACACACACACACACAACTTAAACACAGAAGCTTGAATCCTTTTGTTCTTTTAAACATGATCATTATCATGGCTTTCTTTCTTTCTTTTTTTTTTCTTTCCTCTTCGTCATATGGGATGTTATCCATAATAAAACAATGATTTACTTCAATGTGCACCTGATGTTAGTTACACATTTTAAACACTCCTCATCTCTAACATAAATGCACACAGACACACACATATTAACAAACTCAAACTGTGAATCTGCTTCAGTCAGTTGTGCACCTGATGTTGTTTTGCACTGAAAAACCCAAAGGAACTTTCCACTTCAAAGGCCAGGCTGGGCTCCTGGCGCATCACGGGAAACAAGAGTTGGGAGCAAAAACAGCTCAGAAATTTTGGAAAAAGCAAAGAAACTCCCCTCAAAAATTGACTGTGAACTTTTGATACTGATCAGAGCTGCAGATTTTGAGCAGAAAACAGGGAGAAGGTGCACTTCACAGTTGGCAGGTGGTAGTTAATACAATTCTTTTAATCTTTTAAGAAATCTTCTAGTGATGAAAAAGCGGCTGCGCCTTTGGTACCAATAAAACCTACACTGTTCACTGCAGCATAAACACTAATAAACAGTGACTATGCACCTGATGTTTCTGCAGCTCTGCAGGGCATCCGGCTGCAATAGGATTTAACGAGAAACAATAGAAAAATGTATTTGATACTTGGTGTTTATATTCTGTATGGGTTGTGCAGCAACCCTGTCAGGCACATTAAATGAAAACTATTTGCAGATGCACTGCTGTGAGGTGTAAACATCCTGAAAGTTACTTTTTTGTTGTGTTTTCTTTCACTTCTCTTTATCATTTGCATTTATTTATTTGGATACACATATGGTGTCGACAAGACAACAGATGCAAATCATGTTCACCCACCTTAAAGTTCTCCTCCGTAAGTCCTTCATCCGTCTTGGCGCTGCGTATCATGGCTGCCACATATCTCTTCACCAGGTTCCGGATCACTTCCTGTTGGAGAGGAGACAGTCACCGTGATTACTGAACTGCCTTGTTCTTTCTATCACTATCAATTACTTTGTTAGAAAGTCAGTAAGACAGCTGCCCCATTGACTTCACTGTGCTACGTGTATTTAGCTGACCGTTTCAAATTTCCAAAAGAAAGTACGCTGGCCTCTAATGTTTACGTACTAAGAGGTTTGTCTTGGGAAGACGTGCAATACAACAAAAGTATAATGAGAACAGTGAGAATCCACAGTCTGTCAAATTTGTGTTGTCATGCAATTGTTCATTTGCATTTAATGTTTTAATCTAATTTGCTTTGTAATGTATTTTGATGTTTTATCTATTTATTAGCATTGTTTAAACACTTTGAATTGCCTTTGTTTTTGAAAATATGCTATATACATAAATGTTACCTTGCCTTGAAAATCTGACAGAAATCTATTGGAACTGCTTTCCTTTGTGTTTTGGATTTTTGGAGACTTCTCCTCTAAGCGTATACATGAGCATAGTTGAATGCATGACAGTAAAAATAATAAAAACTTCATTCATTCATTCCTATATTTTTCCACACAAGTTCTAAGAAATTAATACATTACCGGCCCAATGTTAGTCAGGTGCTTTCTATTATTACTCTCTAATTTAGATAAAAGCTGGTACGATGCACAGGTAGATGGACCGGATAAGGTGTTGGTCTGAACTATTTCCAGCATACAAAAACCTAATGTATAATGCATATAGAATTAATTATAGTCAGTGCTTTAACTGTGGTGTGTAAAATCATTACTGCGTAATCTTCCTAAGATGTGCTCACTTCTGGTTGATCACACACAGAATTCAACCTAACTGATGAGCCCAAACATTACCCTCTCATTAATCTCAAAGTCTCAACTAATCAGACAGTGAGGTGGGTGATTGTTATTGATTTACAGATCAAAGACAAATTCACCAGCATTTGGTGCTCAGTGGGCATCAATTCAAACCCTGACACACTGCTACAGCACACACACACACTGCGCCCTCCCACAGTCAACACCTGTGACTGCCAAACAGGACGGTCTGGCATGCTGTCACTCTCCGCCTCTGCCAAAACACACCACACACTCTGTTAAAGTGAAGGACAGATTCATACAACAATCCTTAAAAACACGGAGAGATATCACAGCGAGAATCGGCACTGCCAAACAGAAGCTACTGGCGTTCCTGGATTTGCTAGTGCTGAGGTGTCAAAATACAAGAGTTCAGTCTCGGTTGATTGCTGTACAAATTCTTAAAAAATCCCACAAACTAGACATCAAACCCTCACAGTTGTAGCTGCCAAAAACTGTTTCTTTTACTGTTCACAAGTGCTGAAGAGTTAAAATGTGTTCTCTCTCAATTTAACTCACATTAAAGGAGACTTTTGAAAACTCTAAAAATACTAATTTGGATGGATTCACATCATTAAATCTAATATCAAATCCCATGCTATTGATGCTTTTGTGAACACTTGAACTTATTTGCTGCTGATAAAAAAAGCAGGTTATATTTTCCTCTAATATTTTAAGTGCCTCTGACCAAAACACTGGCCTGTTTCACCTTGAATACCAAACACCAAATGTTCACTGAACTGATAAACTGGGGAAAAAAGCCCATTTAACAATGTTTGTTGTACGTTGTAAGTTCAGTGTGGAGCAGCAAATGCAGACATGATTTGTTTACAAGACATCTCTACTGGACACCTTTAATAGGAGAAAGCTTTTAGTAATGTTTGACCAAGTCAGATGAAAGTAAACTGACAGCATCAAACCTTCATCGAACAAAGAACTGGACACAGTCCTTACAATATGTGGATTCTTCTTTTCATTAAGAGTTTTCTCCAGCAAAATCTGCTTAATTGTTGCATTGTTTGTCCTAACGTGAGATGTACTAGCTACCTGTGCATTTAAACAAACACACAGCCCCAACATCATGTTTTTAACTGTCTACCAGTACAACACATACTTCCCTCAGCTTTACTTGTTATATTTCTTTAATTTGAGTAAAAAAAAACAACTTTGATTATCAAATGAAACACTATCACCCTGTTCTGTTTCTTTGTGTATTACTGTCTTTAATGCATAATGGGCAGTTCATTTCCCTCTCATTTCTTCCTTCTTTCTATAAACAACAGCGGCTCTGAGAGCTGAAGGTACTGCAACATAAGACAACACAAGCTGATTAATAAAACAGCTTTGCCAATTTATCAGCACATGCAGCATTTAGAAGAAAAATGTTCCAAAGATAAAATAAAATAAAAAAATCACATACAGAAACATCCTGCAAATATGGAAAACACAAGCACACTACTACTGAGCTGTAGGGTTACCAGTGGACATCAGTAATAACATCTGAATCATGTCGTCAGAATTTTTAAAGTTAGCTACCGAAACAAAAACACTTCCAGTTATTTGATCTGTACTTGGCTGGACGTGGCTAGATGTAGACTGTGAACTGGAACAGTACTTGGCCTGTGACTGATGTTTCACAAGTCAGCAAGAACTCAAGTAGAGAGAAGAAGCCAGACTGAGAAAGGCACCTTGTGTCTCCCCTGGAGACATTCCTGTTGTAGTTTCTGCTACTTGTTTCTAAATTTGGTTGTGCTTTCTCACTTTGCAGGGCTTTTTCTAAATGTGTTGTCAAATTGGTGAAGTTGTTCTCTAAGTTTGCTTCTGTTTTGTCTATCTGCATGTGTTTTCCCAAGTTGCTGCTGAGCTCTCAGTGCCACTGTAATAACCACACTTTTTGCATCACAAGAGGATCTTGTTCAGGAATAGTTCGACAATTTGCTTGGCTGTGGATAGTAGTTCTAGGGTTGCTGCTAACATTTTGGCAACTTCACGGTGACAACAAGACTGTATCAGCACTGCACCTGGCCAAGAAAAAGCCCAGCACCTAACCCCTGTAAAACACAACCGGTCATTTTTAACCCTTTTTTCAGTTTGTTGTCCAGACTAAACAAACAGCCTAGCTGTTTCCCTGTGTCTTTATGTTAAGCTAAGCTAGCTTCATATTTCTATATAGTGACATTGATCTTCCTATCTAACTCTAGGAAATCTAAACTATTTCTTAAAGTTGGACCTGCTCTGGAACAGCAGGACACTAGAAACCAAATCTAGATAGTTCAGGTTGGATCAGGTACTGGATTGGAGGTATTGTGTTTGTCTAAAGATCTCTAACATCTACAAACACACCTCTAACAGACACACATGAATCCATGATCTGTGTACACACCTGGTAATGTTGATTCTGTAGCAGGCTGTCAGCATGACGCTCCTGCAAAGAGAAAAAGAGATCATTTTAAATACACGACATCTTTGTTGTCATTGCTCTTCTTCTGCCTTTCTGTTTCTTCCTTTTGCAGTTTTCCTCTCAGCCAACATGACAGTACATTAAGAGCTAAATTATCAAAAGTACAATACCACAACAAAAGAGATGGTAACAAATTTCCTTTGGCTGGCAGAAAGACATTTTGACACCCTGGATCCTCCAAAGTGAGGAGGTGCTGAGTAATGAACTATAGTTACTAATAAATAACATGTTGGAGAGAGACATTCTGCTCTTCATCTATATTTTAGGCTTTTAGTTGATGCTCTGATTCAATCCTCAGAATCATCCCAGTGACAGATAGCGGGAAAGTATCTCTGGATGTACCTCATCCAGTGATTCCTCCAATTGAATTAAGTATACTGAGGAGTGTTCAGGTTACTTTTAGAGAGCGACAGCATCAAACATACCTATATAATTCGTGGGGTTTTCACTCTGCAACTGATGCTGCAGATGTGGACAAAGTGAGCACAAGTAAACACTATTCACAATTATGAAACAACATGTTTTAGAAAGATAATAGAGCGAAAAGAAAAAGACAATAGTAACTGCACACTCAAGTCAGAAAATAAGCAAAAAAAATCAGCAAAACGTTACAATAAATGTGTTTAGTCTACACCCAATGCAAAATATGACTGTTCTGTGTGAGTGAATAAAATAAACACTGGTAAAATGACAAGATCTTAAGACTGGGTTACTCACAAAACACACATCAATATGGCCTCAGCTGTTCCATTTTACTTGTGACACTGCTGCTAATCAGCAGAGAAACACTGCTAGAGTTGTAAACTCTGCCGTTGATTCAAGACTGAATCTGTTTGGATTCATAAGTCACTGTTAAGCAGGATCTTCAACCGTGTTCAAATTGTATGCCCAGGACTTGGACTTGAGTCAGACTCGAGACTCGACTTGGACTTGAGCACTGATGACTCGGACTCGAGTAATGACTGCATTTATACTCAGAAGTTAATAATTTGATATAAAATATTGATATTAAAACATGTTCACCTGCACCATGTTGTATTCGGTAGACACTGCTGATCAAAAAAAATGTACGCTGTTCACTTCTAAGTAGTGCGTGTGTGTGCACACTTATGAGTATTTGTCTGGCTACCTTTTCACACAGTAATAAGCTCTTTTTAAGAAGTTGTGAGCTGTGTCAATTGTGTTTATTGTAGAACTTGATGACTCGGACTTGGGTAATGAGGACTGACTTTCTTTGGTGACTGACTTGACTTCGACTCAAACACTGGGGATTCAAGACTTGACTCAGAGTCAAAGTTTAGTGTTTTGTGTCTCAACTACAACTCTGCCTTGAGGAAAATTCTGAATTTCTGATTAAGCATCCTTCCTCCTCAGACTCAAAGGTGCTTTTCAGGCATACTGTATGTTTTATCACTTTACAGTGGTCTCAACAGTAGCCATGCATCAACATTTCTTATTTCCTAAATTTCCATCATCCCTATATCTTCTTGTGCCTTTTGGTTTCATAATCTCTGAGCACATTTTTATTGTACTGACATTTCAGAGTTCAGTACTGCACTTCACTGTCTCCGTTTCACTTCTTCACTTCAGTTTCACAGCCATCTACATCTATGCTTCTGATTTGTCTTCCTTTATCTCTCTTATAGCTGCTAACAAATACAGACACATTTGTGCCTATTCTTCCAACACACACAGTCTCTCTCTCCCTTGATCAGATTACTGTAGCACTGTGTGATTCTGTGAACCTATGTGGGCTGGTTGGCTTATGTAACTCAGCCGACTCCAGCTGAGGGGAACATGCCAGCTGTACTCCATGTGTGTGTGTGTGTGTGTGTGAAAAAGCCTCATCTTTCTGCTCTGCTTGCTCACAGTCTCCAGATGACTGGATTGTTAAATGTACTTATGAGGACGTGTTTATCCACTGATGTTCCTTCTGCCTATAGATGCACAGCTGATGTCCATCAGTGTTGTGTGATTGTCTTTGTCATAAAATGACACATGAATACAACAAATCTGAGGACACCCCTCTCCAATGGCAATAAAATGTTCTATTTTTCAAATTGTACCAACTGACAATGATTTTATTATTTTACTGTAAGTACAGGTTACTTGATCTTGTGTATGGTTAAAAACAAACAGGTTAGATCAAATAAACTGTATATAAAGGCCCCAAAGTGCAGCATCAGTGCAACAAAAATGAGTACACCTGTGCGTACTGCAACAGGATGATCAGTAAGCTGCCATAAGCCAAAACAAAGTTGCAGCAGTGGGTCAGAGTGAGTCATGCGACCTGCTACCGGGTCAGGACCATCTGCTGTTGACATGGAAATTATCCAAATGAGGTTTTCAAGGTCAAGAATGACCTCTCATCCTTTTTGTTTTTGACCAAACAAGCCAAACTTCTCAGACACACAGCAGACACTGGACTTAAGCAGATTCACATCAGTATCAGCATATGGCCTGTAGTTCATATGCATGCCTATTCAGTGACGGGCGTAAGGCCAGCATATTAGACTACACAGGAAAAAATAGAACATTTAGTTTCTGCATGCAGCTGCCGTTTTGAGGGAGAAATGGAGCACCAGAGTGACTTGTAGGTTGGACATGACGGCGAAGTTCACAGTGTCAGAATCAATCAAATCCAAGTTCAACTTCAAATGTGTCATTTTTTTCATACAGAAGAAAAAATATGCAAGTTCCTCTTTGAGGTTGAGATGCAGTAAGTGTAACATGGATGGCACAATAATAAAGATAAAGAAAAGAAGTAAGTCTGCTCCTGATTTAAAACAAATTCAAGTGAACTGGAAATAATTTTAAATGATGAAATAACTATGCAAAAATAATATTATCATAAGCAGAAATATTCTAAAAAAGATTAGCATCAACACAATACAAGAACCCACTTTTGTCTTCACTTACTGTGAACTCTCTGAGGTTTTCACATTTGCGCCCGCCGTCCCCTGGCGGCTGGCCTCTCCTGCACAGCTTGTTGTGGAGCCACATGAGCAGGTACCAGAAGGACTTGGGGCTGGGGATGATGTTGAACGGAGCCGGGAGTGTGCCACCTTCGTCAAAGCAACTCATCCACAGCTTGGTGCGGGCAAACTTCCACTCGATGTCAGCATGATCCTGGAGGAAGACAAGGAGACTTTTGTTTTTGTTTTACAAATTGGTGTCTTCAGTCCAACAACCCAATAGAAACACAGTACAAATTATAATGAAATAAAACAAATTCAGAACAGCAAAGTAATGAGTTTCTGCCATCCTGTAAAACAAGTCCATATGGTGTTATTACGACAAATTTATGATGCAGTTTATTATGAGGAACAGTAACATGTTATAGCTGCAGTAGGTGACCTCTAGTGGCCATAGCAAAGGAGGAAGTCAGGTGACATAGTATACAGAGGGACAAAGTCAGTGTTAGGAGGAGGTGGGTTAGTGGATCAGAAAATACAGGACTGCTGTTTAATTTCAAGGTGTAGCGTTGTGTTTTTTAGTCCATGACTATTCCATTTTCTAGACAGCATTTCTTCTGATTAACTAGTAAGTTAATCAATTTGCACTACTTAATGTGATGACTCACAGCGATGAGTTGGTAGGAATTGTTCATCATGGCGATGAGCATGTTGAGCAGAACCACCAGCGAGATGATGTTGTACGTCCCGAACATGGTCGCCCCGACAAACTCTGTGAACTCGTGCCGAGCCTTCACGTTGGTGACGTACAGGTTTAGCAGCCCAAATATTGACCAGAATAGAGACTGAAGGGTCTCAAATAACCTGAAGAAGACAGAGAAAGAGAGAGAGAGAAAGGGAGAATAAGTAAAAACTTGGTCATGTTTATATTTACATGATTCTTCAAAAGAGCATTACAAAAAGTAGTACAGGTAACAAATCTCCTTTAAATAAAGAACACAGCAAAGCCAGATATTAATTATAAATGTGACCACAGGGGAACAAGAGTAAAACAAGACTTTAAATAACACACAAAAAAGTGTTCATAATAACCTGTCTGAATTTCAAGAAGTACATTTTCGAGAGGTTATTGCCTTAAACTGTCAGTTTAATGCTGCTAGTGCTTGCTGAGAGGACACTGTCAGGTTCAGATTCTTCTTGGTATAATATACAGTATAAAAGCCTTCAGGTGGAATCAGTAGTGCTGACGCTGGAAAAAGAGTTATGAGATAGGATGTGTCTTAGTGCCACAGTAAAATATCAAAATCCATGCACCTCATGATTTTTATTCAAACTCATGACCACAGCTCAGTTTGAATAAAATTGGTGATGACAGCCAGCAAATTTTAATATAACAAGTCGAATACATCACAGTTAGCACTGTCGGTCTCACTGGTGCTGAACTAAAACAATGTGGCACTCATTGGCACAAAATGTGCATCCAGATGGCAACACAAATACATGCTGCACAAAAAAATGTATTCATTGTAACTATACAAGGAAACAGGAAAAAAAACTTCGACATCAAAACGATTTGATACTTAAAATCCGATCAAACAGAAGTAAAAATGCCTCAAAGTAAAATACTGTATATTTTGCCATCAGTGATATGCAGATCATTATCTTGCTAAACATAGTGCACAGTGCATGATGGCTATTCTGGACCTTGAAAACAATAGTTTGACAAAAACAATTTTAGCACAAAGGTCCACTCTGGCTTTTTTCTGAGGGTTTCCTCCCAACTAGTCACCTTTCACAGCCAATATTTTAATTAGTCAGAGAAGAAAAAGCACAGGCGTTACTAATAACAGTAATGAACCCTGAAACTGGATATCAGTCATCATTAATTTTATTATTTACACCTGTGCTTTTCCTAATGTGACATGTCAAAACATCTGTCTGTGAAAAAAGGATTGTTAATGCATCCAGCAGTGTGCACTGCAGAAAATGAATGGCGCACAACAGGAAACAACAAGACCCCTGCGGTGAAAACCGCCTGCTTTAGCTGCACCAAGCCACACTGGGATGATGTGCATCCACTACAGCCTCACAGCAGGGGGCAGCTGCTCTGCTGTGGTCTGCTTGGCAGCAAGGCTGTCCATGGCCAACTCATGCTGGTCTCCTCTCCTCAGCTGCATCCTCAGCAGCTAAACACACGTGTCTGTGCTGGACACTACAGGAAAAGCTCAGTTTTCCAAGTCTCTCTAATTTAGTTTCACTGATGTGGTCCAGTTTTTCCTTTCAGTTATCAGCCTAACTGTAGTGTTTACTGATTATTTAGCTGTTTCTGCATCACACAAAACGCTGTCCACTGGTGAGCCAGAAGCAAAGTCAAGATCACAAAAGCTTTTCAAGTTGTCCGGACCATCCACTTTTGAGGGTGTGATGTTTTTTAAACCTAGCTTACTTCTCTTTTCTTCAAGAAAAGTTGGTTTCGATTTTGGTGTTGCTTTTCTTGTTGTGGCAGACCAGCACCTGCTCTTGCTCAGTCTTAGCTAACAACCAAACACGCCAATGCCTGCTTGTGTGGGTGTGTAGTGAGCTAGCTACCTTTTTTATGCTTCTGTGCCGGCAATAGCTGTGGCTGGAGGCATTATGTTTTTGAGTAGTCTCTCCATCCAGCCCATGCTTGGGAATGCAATATGTCACAAATGCCCTGAGGGATTTTTTTTCAAATTCGGCAGTTGTGTCCACTTGGACTCAAGGATGACCTGAGTAGATTTTTGTGATCAAAGGTCAAGGTCAGTTCCCTCACATCTGCCCCATTCTTGTGAATGTGACATATGAGGAATGCTGAAAGGGAACTTCTTCCAATTTGGCACAAATGCCCATTTAGGACTCAGAGATGGACTGACTCGATTTTTCTGGTCAAAGGTCAAGTAAGGCTTGAAGGCAAATGTTTAGTTACAAAGGTAAACCTGGTTCTCTGAAAACTGAGTGAGGCATCTCACAGCGCTGCCCTAGTCTGGAAAAAAATATGCTTGGGAATCCCATGTTTGGGGCTGCAGATGGTTGTAACGAGTGGACGAGCTGGTCTATGCAAGTCAGCTGTCCCATGACAGACGTGGTGGTAGCGGCTTCTGTGATTGGTCGCACCAGGGAGCACATCCCATAGTGATATGCTTCACTCACTTTTCATAAAACAGGAGTTACCCTGGTAACTGAATATTTTCACAAATGTCACTGGCTTTTTGTTTTTGAAATGTGTAGGACAACTTCACTTTAAACAGCCAAATGCTGGAATCTACCAGCTGATGGATGCTCAGTGTGTTCATCCCGATCTGCTCTGTCTTTAACCCAGTCTATTTTTCACCCTCCCCCTCTTTTCTCACCTTTATTCTATCCTACCATCGACTCTGTGATTCATGACCTCCTTTCCTTCTGTTCATCCTCACCCATCTCCCTTTCCTCACTGTCACTTCATCCCTGTTTACCTCCTCATTTTATTGCCCCATCTCTGCTCAATCTGTCTTCTGTTTTTCTGTCTCTGTCACAGTTACAGGGGAGGTTACTGAATATTTGATGAAGCAACAATTGGCAGCGGCTGACACTATATCACAAGAAAGAAAGAAAGATAAAGAGAATGAAAGAAAGAAATAGAGAGAGGGTTTTTGTCTGCAGGGTAGTGTATCTATGCTGCATAAAATATTCAACACTCCATCATTTACTGTCATTTCAGTGTCATGCAGGACCACAGTATGTGTTGCTATAAGCTATGTGAATGTGCATGGTCACTTTATTAGTATAATGTGTGAGCATCTACATATACAGCATGCGAGTGATCGTGTGAGCTGTAAATGTACATTGTTGTGTGTTAAATGAGAGAATGAGGTGAGTGTTCAAATGTGTGTGTGTGTGTGTGTGTGTGTGTGTGTGTGTGTGTGTGTGTGTATACATTATGGGGACCGAAACCTGTTAATACACTCACACTGTGGGGACGCGGTCATCCTTGTGGGGACCAGCCTCTGGTCACTGAATTTTAGGGTGGCAACACGGTTTAAGGTTAGGTATTAGGGTCAGGGTTAGATTTAGGCAAGTAGTGGTTATGGTTAAGGTTAGGATAAGTCTACAGGAATTGAATGCAAGTCCATGTCAAGTCCCCACAAGGAATGAAAAACACAGCGTGTGGGGGGATCAATGTTGAATGAAGCAACCAAGCGTGATATTGCATCTGAGTTATGAAACAGAGAAAAAAAAATGTAGGATGTGAATGAGATGGATGAAAAAAGGAGGACAGAGATGAACAGAATGACAAGGGGAGAAGAAAGGACAGTGAATGGAACCAAGCAACGAGAAATAAATTGTTCTCTTTCTAATCTTTCCTTATTTCATCAAGCACAATTTAGTTATCTCTACTAACAACTGATTATTCTCAGAGGTGCAAACTGGTGATGGTGCAAAAATGTGATTTTTCTGCCCAAAATCAAATAAAAGAAGCTGTGCATCTTGCAAGACATTAGCATGAGACAAAGCAAGTTACTGAGAGAACCTGCTATCAAAATGGGGGCAGGGCTCTATGCTAACAAGTATTCTTCACGGAACTGGTGTCCATAAATAAAAACTGACTTGAACTGAGTATTGCTTATTTAATGGAGTCCTTTCAGCCTTTAACACTTTTCCTGATATTCTTGTCTTACTTCCATCCATCTATTCATTCATTATTTATACCACTAGGGGTTATTTCTACACACAGGAGAGCTAGACAGTTGCTGGGGGTGCCACCAGGTGGTGTGTCACCAAGGACAAAGAACTATTTTGTCAATTTCAGATGCCTGTTCTACTTTTAAAAGTCTGTCACTGACCTCCAATGCATTGTTCACATTATTAAAGAGAAATAAAAAAACACTACACTCAGCAGCTGATACTGAGAGGAGGCAGCAGGAGACTGTAGGTAGAGACATGCCACATGGCCGCTGGCTACAGTTTTTGCAACCTCATGGTTCATTTGCTCACACTGCTGAATGTTATGGGGGCAGGTATGTATGCTGTATGTTATATAAACATCATAAAATGACACACACTGGAATCAGGCATGTCTTCAACTTGAGGCATGTATTCATTGAATTAATAGATTTATGAGGTAGCCTACATGGTTTCAATTCAGGTGTTTGCTCCTGAGAAGACAGGTATACCTTTGTATAGGATTAAAAATGAATACTGAATCAAACTGGTCAGGACAGCCACAGGGTAAGTGAATGAATTCTATGCATATCATCTCCTTGCTACAAAAATGACTGACTGTCATGTGGGGAATAGAGCCAGTACCATCCAACATCAGGCAAGAGGTGGGGGTGGGGGGGTTACATCCTAGAAAGGTCATCAGTCTATCAATATATGGAATTAACATTAGCTAGCAACAGGGGTTATGACCCTGCTGTTTGACATTTTAACCAGACACAGTGATGACCGGCACCAGCTAAAAAGGAGAAGCTGCTACCTGAAGGATTTCTACACTGAGGTTTGCAAACAAGAGGGTCAAGAACTCAAGAGTCACTCGTACTGGTACACCTAAACAATTTCCCTGATGCTCATGCAATACTCTAACAGAAAGTGAAGCTGATGTACACATACACTCCAAACCTTTCTAGTGCAGATCTGCATGATGCGAGTGGCCATTTTGGACATAAAATCAGAAATGCTCATTGAAAGGTAACAGGATTGCATCCCTGATTATAGTCTTTTCATTTATCTTTCCTCTCCTTCCTTGCCTTTTGAACCTTTCATGTTTTCTCCTGTCTCCTCCCTGCCCTCTCTGCTCAACTTTTCCTAATGTTCCTCTCATTTCCAACTGTTTTCTCCCCCTCACACTTCTGCTAGCCGATGTTTCCTCATCATCTCCTTTCCCTTTGTCCCGTTGTTTCCTGTTGTACATTTCCTCTTTTCTTTTTTGTTTCTTTTTTTTTAATGTCTCTTCTCCTTCTCTGGTCTCTTCTTCCTTGGATTCCCTTTCCTTTCCCTTCTTCTTTTCTTTTTTCCTCTCATCCACTCTGTTTCCTCTTTGCGGCTCATCTCCTTCCTCTGTCTCACCTTGCTTTCTCCCCACCGTGCTCTCCTCCCTGCTGGTCTCTTTGCCTTGTGTCTTTTCCTATCTTCACCTCCCAAGTTGTCTCCTCTATTAAGCCGAGTCATAAACCGCTACAGCCGATCCTCACAGCCGCTTGGTCATTTCACTGTTATAGCTCTGCAGTTGTGTGGGATTCAGGCCGAGAGAGAGAGAGAAAGTATGTGTGTGTTGTAGTGTGACACAGAAACATTGTGGTTGTGTGTTTAGACTTGGCAACCCAATGGTGTACAATTCAATCATTCCAGCCTATAGTGTTTATCATGCTTATGAATATTTAAGATTGTGTGTGTGTTCCTATGGTTGTGTGGACAAATTGTATTTCAATGCCATCACTGTGAGGACATTTTGGCCAATCCACATGTCATGTCAGTATGTAGCTGTAGATCACAGCCAGCTCTGTGAAGTAGCTCAGGTCAACATAACATTTGTGAGCCAAATGAACTAGACTTAACTCTTGACTACTGGCGTTTGGTGAGTTTATCTGCATTAAATCACATGATCATGCTTCCAGTCCTTGGGTTGTGGGTTCCTGCTCCTGAGGCAGGACTATCCGACCTTATCACCAAACAAAACTGCTGATGTTGGTTGATTCTGCAGAGTCATGGACACATTTTAGTTTTATGTCCAATTTTCCTGCAACTACAGTACAGTCAACATTAAAGAAAGATCCTGGTCATGGTTAATAAAAACATGAATGTTAACTGCAGGTCTGCAATGAGATATGAACTCCTGTGTCACTTGAGCTCATTCACCACCCCACACCCTTATTTTCCACATCACTATGTAAAGGACACAGTATTTTTTGCACTGGCTGGTTAGTCCTGGATGTAAATCATGAGGTGCAGAATTGCTAAATATTGATGTAATTATTTGATAAGAACTACTGCATAAAATCCATTATAGTAGAGTTTATATTCCTGAGCATCATTTGGTCATTTTGGAGAATGTAGTGCTGTTGAATTGTTTTATGTTATCCAGAGATTGTTTCTGTTATTTCATCTAACCTAATTGAGTTAAACAGGGTTGGATAAAGTCATAAAAATATTATAGTGCAATACAGTTCAACATCATCACAAATTACAGCCTGCAAAATGATCATAAAGTTCAATCAATGCCTCTCTAAAGCAGTGCCAGTAAAAACTGAACATGATCACCTTCATGAAGGTGCAATGTTGTATTAGGATGTTGTATTAAGTTTGATTTATGGTACTGTGTTGAATCTACATAGAGCCTACGCTGTAGACTATGCAAGTGGCCTACGCCATTGTGAGCATTATACCTGTGTCTAGATCTGGTGTGTCTGAGTCACCCTGCAATTACACCACCTAAACACTAGTAGGCGGTGGGGTTTTTATGCCTCTGTGCTGCATTGCTACACCACTTGCCAACAATGGTGACTGAAACTAAATGGGTCATGTTGGAGTTAAAACTAACTGTAGTTTTATTGAAATTACTGCAGCGTAGATAAGATCATGTAGATAAGATCATGTAGATAAAAAGATGTTGGAACAGCGTAGATAAGATCATGTAGATAAGAAGATGTTGGAAGAGATGGTTTGTATGACCACTGAACCAACTGAAGCAGAACAAGGGGGGATTTTCCATGCTTATCCGGCCACTGAGAGACATGAATGAGGAAATGTGATGCAACCAATCACAGCTGCTGCAGTCTGCATCACCGTGACTTGTAGTTACATTTCTGGAGAGGTGCATGTCAGGCTACAGCATAGGCTATGAGGCTACACATTACCTATGCCATAAATTCAAGGCAGAACCATAAATCAAGCATTGGACTGCATTAGTTTTAGTTTTGTATTCATTGCAAACTGGTAACTGAATGCATACAAAAGCAGAAACATAAGCAAAATAAAACAGCAGCCAATATAAAGATTCTCCCTAGTGTTGAATTTTCATCTGCAGTGTAAAAACATTACAGTCACAACCATTTTTTATCTGTTATTGGTCCAATCATGATTCTTTGACAAGTAGAGATCACCTAAATAAACAATGAAAGAACCGAGTTTCGGATTTAAAGCCTGAAATATGGTCTGAAAGAGTTTACATGATGGATTTGGGTGAAAAGGCCTAACATCACATCTTATCTGGTGAATCAGAAAGCCAGTTAGCACCCATGCTGAGGGAGATGGAAAATGTGTAAAAGAGAGGAAGAGAGATGTGTGCAAAAAGTAGATAGGGGTTTGCATAGTGAAAGGAAGTGTGAAGGCAAAGAAAAGAGAGAGGGAGGTAGAGACAAACAGAGTGAGAGACACACACACACACTCATACACACACTGATGCTGCCATAGTGCAAAACGCTCTAGCACATTAAAGGTGATAAGTACAGATGAGTGAGAAAAGGAAGGAGGAGACGCAGAGGGAAGACACCTGACCAAAAACAGGAAACAATCTTGTGAAATAACTCATAAATGTTGATAAGTGTGTGTGAATTACAGAGTGAAACAGTGGGTTGCAAAGCTCACACATACACACAGAGGAAATAATCCTTGCATTGAACACACATGAATGTTGATGCAGGCTGTGTTGCCCACAGGGCTGTGATCGTTCCGTTTGCATAATGTGTCATCTCAGCCATCACTGCAACGATCTGCTCACTCGTTTAGCTTCAGCACAAGGCTGATTTTTTTTATCCTGCAGACTCTGATATACCAGCAACATGCCAGAGCTGATGCACAGTTCAGAAATCCTGGTAATATCTTTTACTCTTTTGTCTATTTAAGTCAATGTTTACCATGCATGTGCCTTTTAGTCATACAAATGAGGGTTTGTTTGGTTGGTAAAACATAACATTGATACTTTGACAGCATTGAGAATTTGTAAGCCACCAGAATTACAATCATAACCTAACCTTAACTGAAAGCCCCAACGCTTTAGTCTAGACCTGAGTACAGACAACAAGCGCTAAGCTGCAGATCTAGGAAATCTAGCTGGGGTATGGAAATGTAAGAGGTCAGATATATAAGAGTGAGACAGGTTATGCAATGCTTTAAAAACATTTATCAATAATTTAAAAGCCATCCTTTGTTGAACTGGAAGCTAATAAAGATAGATTGGGAGTTATAAGATCAAATTTCAGCTTTGAAACATGTGAACGTGACCTTAGCATAAGGTTTTTGTCCAGATTAAGAAGAAAAACTGGTATTAATCTCGAATCTATTCAGCATTAAAAAAAATTAAAGCCACAGACATTTATTACAACCCACAAGATAATCTCTTCTCTAAAAATACTTCAATCAAAACAAGAAGCATTTTAAAGTTGGAAGTGTGAGCTCTTGTTTTAGCATACAGCAGGGCTATTGTTGTCCCAAGCACTTACTGTAATGGAACTGATTGCAAATCAATACCACTATTATCTAAAACAAACCACCACCTCATCAATATTCAGCCCACTGACTCGGCTTGGCTTCCACTCTGCCTCCCTCAGCACTGGATCTGTGCTCTGTATGTTTGTGTGTGTTGCAGAACTGCCATATGAGCAATAAATTCAAACTTGGCTTTTCAATAAGTTAAACCCCATCTTGCCTTCCACATTTGCAATTATGGTCAATGCACCACCTACAGAAACACACACTGTACTTGGACTGTACACACACACACACACACACACACACACACACACACACACACACACACACATATAAAGCTAGGGTTTATTTACCACCCAAAGACTAAATCATCACTAAACTAAACTGTTACTGCAGTACAGTTAGGGCTCCTTAGATTCTTTGTCTCAATATAAATGAATGGCTGGGTTTATAAATAAATGTATACATCCAAGGATCTCTCAGTTAAACTGAGATGGAGAACAAGGTAAACATAAGCTGTGAACTGATGGCGGCACTAGATGGGGAAAAAAGGTCAAGAGCACCAAAGGTATACAATTTATCTTAAGGGGGACATAAATGTCTCTACTAAATTTCATGACAATCCATAATTGTAGAGATATAGCTTTTCAGAAAAATTATTTATATTAAATTAACAAATTTCAACCTGCTGGTGGCACTTAGATAAGAAATGTAGAGAGAGGGGATGCCAACGTGTGTGTGCTGTAGTCAAACAAGACATATAAATATACCAGACTAGTATAGTTTCACCATTATCTTTCACTCTCACGCTTTTACATATTTGTAAAGACACGTGGACGTGGAGGACACAATAGGGATGGTACTCACGTTGAGAAGGCGTTGTTCTGCCTCTCACAGCGGATGCCCTTGCAGTTGTTGGGCTCTTCTGATGCCTTGGTCTCATAGTAGAAATACAGCTGGTTCAGACCATTAGCAAATGCCAGCAGGACCTACACACGGGACACAGAAACATATTTTAGTCTCTCATAAAATCCTCATATTAACACATTCTTATGCTAGAACTAATAAATACATTTTGGACATAGGTTTGTTTGTTCATTTTGAAGTGAAACTTTTCAGTCATTTGGGGCCTGGTGTTACACTTTGTTACAGGGATTGACCCACTCCTCCTCATTTTAAAACACTGCTTTCATCTGAAACAGGACAGAAGCACTACAGTGTTGCATAACGTTGCTACCGAGTGAGCACAAAGCAACGTGGTGCCTCAAGCTCACTGGGATTGATTTTAGGACCTCAGGGAGATAAACAATTCACATGTGGATTGTATTGTTAGAATAGGAGTTCCCTTGGGAAGAAATTAATGAGCTCTGAGTGTAATGAAAAAGGCCTGAAATTAACAATAAAGCGTACAGCTTGCTGAGGATTTGCTTGCTTTCGTGATCATCAGATATACACTGCAGTGAGTCAAATGGAATAAAAACTTCTAAAAAGGAAACATGGCTGAGATGCATAAAATACTGTTTAACCAAGACAATCCTGGTTCTGGCGGCTGTGTCACAGGAGGTAGAGAGGGTCGTCTCCTAACCGGAGGACTGGCAGTTTGACACCTGCCTTTTCTGGTCCACATGTCAAAATATCCTTGAGAAAGACACTGAACCCCCAGCTGCTCCCGGGGATGTCACTCATGTGTGCAAGTGTGAGCATATGTGTGTGTGAATGGGAAATAGTGTAAAGTGCTTTGAGTGTGCATCAATATGTAGAAAAGTGCCATATGTATACATTAATATATATATATGACCATTTACAAAACTCAAGCTAATATTTTGTAGCAGGGATGTAAAGATACACACATTCATACTATTTTGGTACAGGACTTTACTGTAGGTATGGTGCAAATGTGTACCAAATGCAGTCTTTCATAGTAGTTAGTAGTAGGTTTGTTTTGTATGAGGAACATTTTTCCATGCTTCCACACAAACATATTAATTGGCAGACTGGAGCACATTAAAAACACACAGCATGCTTAGCTTAGCCAAGCCTCTGGCTAGCAAACATCATGGTCAATGCAAATGAGAAGCAGAGCTAGAAGACCCTGCCTTATCAATAAGCTCTCCTGTTTGGGAACACTTCAGCTTCCCACTGAAACACAATAAAAGACAAGAACACACCTTATTTATTGTTGTTTTTTTTTGCACACCTGTCCACCTTATATTAAGACGTTCATTCCATGGTGATTAGGTATGTTTTTGGCCACAGACATACATACTTATATATGTATGTTTTTGGCATCATATCAAAACTTGCTAACTCATTTGAACCCAGATCACGTGAACGTGACTATCACTGCTGCAAAGGAAAAAAGGGCAAAACACAAACACTGCTTCCTTTATTATCTGTATTTTTATTTTTAAATATGTTTTATGTTTCACTTAATACTTAAAATAAACAATGTTTACAAAGTTCTTAATACAGTAAACGACAAGCAAATTTATGGCTTGTACTAAACATGATCAACACTGTAAGCTACGTACCATACAATAGCAGAGGTAGTGACTGAGTGCCAAGGTTACACCATAGATTTTTTTTTAAAACAGATGTCTTGTTTGAGTGGACAGTTACTGTATTTTCTCTTTAAAAATACTTCTGTTGCCATGAACTCTACTAACTGGGACCAAAATCAACAGATAGTGTAAGAAAAATGATAGTTCAAGTCAAAAAAGGTTTTGTAAAGTTACTCTTAACAAAAACCACCTGATGTGTGTTGCACGTGAGGGGAGAGATAAAATGTCTTACCAGACAATAAATGAAGAGAAACTTGAGGATGTCCAGCAGCATCCTTCCCAGTGAGATCTGCAGCGGCCCGAGGTGAGAGTTTGCAGTGAAGAGGGAGATGAGTCTGAGCGAACTGAAGATGTTGGCGATGGCAAACAGAGCTTCGGCTATCAGCGTCGGGTGCCACATCTCCCACTCCTCCCTGGGACGAGATGAGTTATACTACAGGAAAAATTAACATGTATTTTATTTATTTTTAATCAGAGGTTAAACTCCTTGATATGCATCATTTACTTTTCAAAGGGGTCCTCTGATATGGGGAAAATGAGGATGAAGACAAAGCAACATAACATAAAAACATTTTCAGAATATATTACGAGCAACTGTTCAGCTTATATGAACATACAGAGATAAAACAACATGAAAACAATTATTTTCACTGTTCAAATGGGTACAGATTTAGCAGAAATTTGTAGAAAATGCAAATGAACACACTTGTCCATCCACTACTGATATGTTATCACCATCAGTTGAGTACAATGAGATAAACAGTTTGTGGCACTAATTCTCCAGTGGGGTATGAGATGATGTAATTAAAAGAGCACCAGTCAAACCTCAAATGCCTCCTTGGAAATGCACCTTAAGATTCCCAACTGTTCGAGTTCTCATTTTATCCACTCATCACCAGCAGAGTCTGTTTGTGTGACCTTTTTTTTGCTTCACTTGTGTCTCTCTCCAACTGATTCCCACCATCTTTCTGCACATCTCTCTTGGATGTCTCACACTTGGCTTCCTCCTCTCCTCCTCATTTTAAATTCAGCCATTAGACTTCCACAGGACTTCTGTCTTGTTAACTCTGCCTCTATTAGCATTCACCATACACGTTTGTACATCTATCTTTGTGAGGACACTCACTGATATGATAGCCATCACAACTACATGTCTAACTTCTAACACCAACTTAAATTTAATTCTAACCTGAACCCTAAAACCCAGTTTTAACCCTCAAATAAGGTGTTAGTCAGGACCATCAAAAATGTCCTCACTATCTGGTATAAAACTCTAAACTGGTCCTTGTATAGCCATATAGTTATACACGCACACATACAGAGAGAGGGAGGGAGGGAGATAAAGAGTTCAGCTGGAAACAAAAATGCAGATATACACACATTAATTTATAGACTCCATCACACCTTCTCTCAGATGCTCTCACTCTCTCCGTCTCTTTCACACAAACACACACAGTGAGGGACAGACAGCTCTCCACAGGATTTTTAAGTGTTGATCATTATTTAAAGGAAAAAATATATATACAGAGCCAACAGCTGCATCCTGTGTATGTGTGCACATCTCTGTATTTGTGTGTAGATTAATGTTAGTGTACGTAAGAGGCTACAGCTGTGTGTATGTACACATTGTATATCCTCATCTATATGTGCATGCTTATAAAACTTTGTATATGTATGCATGTGCATGTGTAGGACCCGTGTAGGAGGGCCACCCGCCACCGTCAGTGACTCACAGCTGCCGCAGATGGCCTGGCCGTCTGGTAAGTAAGTGTGTGTGTGTGTGTGTGTGTATGATTACACTATTTTCTCTTAATAAATAGATAAATCTTGTATGCATGTAGAGTAAGTATTATTACAGCTGAAAGCTGTGCTATGAGAGTGAGAAAATGAGGCATGCAGGCATCAAATGATGTGTATTATGTGCAACAACTCCAATTTGATGTTTAAAGGTTAAAGGTCTAGTGTTTAAAAGGCTGATGTTTTCAGTTCTTATCAACAGTGATACCAATGAAAACTGATTGTTTGTTCCCCATTTCATCTGGGTATTCATCATGGTATTGCTCAGTGCTAGACTCTCTAATGTTCTGGGCGATGTTTGAAATTGTTATCAGGATATTAAAAATGATTTTTTTGTTATTGATTTACACAGGGGTGACAAAGGAAAAGAAAACCCAGAATATGCATGTTATAATTTTCCCTTTGTCACCCATATGCATATCACAACAAGGCAAATGTATAAACACCCACGTGGGCACAGACAGCAGGGCAGACAGCGGACACTATAATGGGTGTCTGAGTAGGCGGACATATTCACATGTGCATCTGATGACACAGGAGGAGCGCACTCAGTGACAAGAAGTTGCTTTATTTTACAAAAAACAAAACATTTATGTCTCTGTGGCTTTAATCTGTGCAGGAGAGCTGCCTCTGAAACAGCACACAGGCGGTTCTCCAAAAAAATCAGACATGACAATCAATAAATATCTGTGATTAATTAATCTAAATTAATTGCTAGATTAATTTTTGCTGTGAAGGTGTTTAAAAATAATTAAATTAAAATTGATTTTGCCAGATTAGTGAATCAATGAATAACTAACAAACTTTAAAGTTCAATCTATCTTTTATTTCAGAATCAGAACATGTTTTAGGTGTCCATATAAAATAATGGCCATAACAATCAAAAATATGACCTAATATGCTGAGGACATGCAAGGCAAAGAGCAATTTTACAGTGCAGACATTTTTGGTTTGTGTGTTGTTGCATGTTTCCATCAATGTGTCATATGGAATGACTGTTTCCCAACAATGAGTTTTTTCAGCAGTACTTACCCACTAAGTCAACATGTTCTTGTTCTCTCACTCGTACACATGCACACACAGATGTGATCTTTACCTTAACATAGGCCACTATTTTCAGCGAAATGGTGGCCAGATAGAGAGAGTTCATGGCAAAGTCCATCAGGTTCCACCAGTCGTGGATGTACTCTGTGAATCCCCCATCCCACATCTCCTTAATTTCTGCCCAGATGAAGCCTGAAACATACACATACAGACAGTCATGCACACAGCTGCTTATTTACAAGCACAGACAAAGTCATGCATGTATGAGCACATTCAAGTCATGCGGCTGTGGTTTCTGTTTGCTCAGTTTTTGCTGTGTGACTAAACTACTGTTAAATATTTTCTTTCGGCAGCAGCCACGGGCTAAACAGAGAGCTAACATATTTGTTATGTACGACTGGCTTTAGACAAAGTCAGGTTTTCTTCTAAATAACTGACATTTTTAGGTCATCTGTTCTCCATACAATATCTGCTTGTCTGAGTTTCTGTAATTACGTTTAGATGAGTATTATGTTGAAGATTAAACTCCTTCACTCGAGGTAGCAACTCACTCTCAAGCCTGTGCATAGAGATGAGCACAGATGCTTTCATCTGGAGCAACTATAAATGAAACAACACTAGGAAATGCTCTACACACTTTATCAACAACAATAAAACCAGTTAGTAGTCAGTGTTTCTTTCTATCCAAAGTGTTTTGTAGATTCAAGCAGAGGAAGGCAGGAGAAGACAGCAGAAGAGACGGTAGAGCAGAAACAGATGGTTTTGTATTTTTCCAAGAGATTATGGTTATGATTTGGAAATGATTGGTGTCAGCTCTGAGAGAGAATATGGAGATGCAATCACTCATTTTCACACCCACCCGCACTCACACACAACCGCCTCCTCCACACACACTCAAAAACCTGACCACACACATACACACCCACATCCAAGCATACACACAAATACACACTTCTGTAAAGGCCTCTTGATGATTAGTAATCACAGTGGGGGGAAAAAAAGAGACAGATAAGAAACTTTTTCACATTATTTCTGAATCTGGATTTTTTTTTTTAGCAGTCCAGGAGAAATGTTTCATCATCAGACTGGCTGCTGACTGGACAATGAGTCATTCAAGTCTTTAGTACACTGGTAAATGTTATCTGTTAGACCTCTAATTATAACAGTGAATATGGGTCATTTATTAATAAAGAGGAAAAAATGAAGAAATAATTTGACACATTTCCATTCACTGTTTTGTCACTGCATTCTCAAAATGTTTATACAGTATGTTCTGGTTAAATTTAGAGAACAATTGTGGTTCAAGACAATGACTGTCGAATGTCAGTAAGAGATGGTTCTTAAATTATGGTTTCTGTCATTGAAGTTACTTTGTACACCCAGTACCACTCCACCATGACCTTCTCCAGTCTACCTTTACCTGTACTACATCCTGTCCATCTCTAGGTCCATGACTAATATCAATGACGACAAGTCTTTGTCAATAACATCCCCCAAACTATAGAACAGCCAGAACAGATTTCTTTGTCTCTTCATGTGCTCTCCAACCAGTGTTTTTTCTGAATACTCCACCAACCTTCTACTGTCAGACACACAAGAAAAAAGCAGCAGCAGATGCAGGATAAACAAGGGATATTTTCTGTTTACTTAATTCATTTTTCTTCTTTGTCAAATCCAGCCGATTACACTTCCCACAGTCAAACTCAACTGGTGACAGATTTGTATTTATTATACTAAAATTCCAGATGTGGTCAGCAGCTACAGTTGAGTTTAATGAGTTTTGAAGCTACAAAATACATAGTTTCAGCAAAATACTCTTAGAATGCATCAAACATCACAGGCTGAACACTTAAATAACTGCCATACATACCCAGCACCCATGGGAGAATCATCCACTCCACAATGGTGGGCGGAGGTCCCTGCATGTGCAGGTTGGTACGGGCAATGTGCTGTGAGGCCAGCAGCAGGAGGAAGAGGAAGGTCAGGTAGGACGCTGTGTGACAGATGAACTTGATGAAGGGCTTCTTGATGAAGCGTCCCAAAGCGCTCTTAGGAGCCAACAGGTAGATCTGGTGAGGAGGAACCAGAGGAGGAAACATAGGTCAGAATAGAGAAGCACAGACTGAATGACAAAGAGAAAGCGAAGATAGGAAATGAAAGTGGAATTAAAAGCTGAAAGGAGAAAAGAAAAAGTGACGGTGGAATGGCTGAGAGAATAAGGACATGAAAAGAGGTGAGAGAGGAGAGACAGCACCAACACACAAAACAAAAAGAACAGCTGTGGCTTTATTTCCTCTGACAGGATTCCTCAAAATTGTATTACATAACCTATAATGAAGACTAAAGCTTTTTGACTCTTGTCGATGATTAAAACTATTAGTTAAAGACCATCTAGAGTCATCTTTTGCTCTGATGTTGTTTTTGTTTAACGTTCTGTTAAACTGTGAAGCAGAAAGAGAAAAGACTGTGCATAAGATGACTGTCTTCATGTTCAGCCACCTGTCACCTTGTGCTGTACCGGAATGCTTCCTCTGTCAGAGCTGTTGTGACTGTTATTGCTGTTTGATGCTTGTCTACTTGTTCTACTCATTTACTCGCTCCTCGCAGCCTCGATACAGAACGCACCGCTCGCTTCTTGCTTTCAGTCTGGATTGAATGTAATCATGCTTCAGTAGCACTTACGTCTCACTCACGTCACGCTTTCAGTGTGTTTTCCAAATCAAACATCATTAAACTTCATCACGCTAAGCAATTCCTGGATTATTGCACTGTAAACACTTCAGGTTAATTATCTTACTCGCATAAACATTTGCATCAGAATAAAAAAAACGGATTTCTTTGTCTCGTCATGTGCTCCCCATTGTCTGGTTTATTTTGGTATTTATTTTGGTATTTTATGTCTCTGGACATACCACACAAGTCATAGAGTTATCTGAGAGGCAAAAGGGTACAAACACACCAACTCTTAATCAAGCTATACAGAGACACAGAGAAACTAAGCAAATTATTGCAAATTTTGTCTCTTAATCAACTTTACACTGATGTTACAGGACTGAATAACTTCACACTTCCCATTGTCCTTCATCTGTACACTGAAGAACACAGTTTACCCGACAGTAATGGGAGACTATGGCACCACAGTGAGAGCACACAACATGAATCAGCCAGAAGGTTATTCTCTAGCATGGGTTATCTTTTTTTAATCTAGAGCAACTACCACGCAATATTTATTGATTGTGTATCAAGAATGTGTTGTGTGTATCGATATTCAAAGGTTCACCTCACACTGGAGTACAGTGGGTTTTGGCTAAAATCTTCTTTCTCTGAGCTGCATAAATATGAAATGCACTGTTTTGTCCCTATGAGAAGTCTGCTAACATTCTCATTGGCTTCTCCAAAATACAAGCACTCCCGTCCTTTCACTGTTAGTTTTTAGGTTAAGTGTTGCTCATATTCCCTGGCAACAACTCGTACTTTCAATAATCTTAATTGGACAATAAAACCAAAGATTTTTGCTTAATTGCTGACTGACAGCAAATTTACTTAAAGGAAGAAACAGCATTTTTGTTACAAGAGCTCCATTTACTCCATTTTTCCCTCATTGCTGTCTTTCTGCATCCTCCACTTCCTCTCTTCTCCTCCCTTACTGCACATCTATCCTTTTTATTTCCCACCCTTCATTTTTTATGTACTTCTCTACTTACTGGATTCAATCTGCCCTCTCCTCTTTCTTCTTATTCTTTTCTTCCTCAGATTTTTTTTTTTTACACATTTTTCACCCCAACCCCTCTTCATTCTCTCTCCATTCATTTCACCCCCCTCTCCCCGCCTGTTTGCATACCACTGAGAAGACAGGGAACAGGAGTCCGATGATGAAGCAGGTTACCAGTTTGACCACCCAGTGTCGCCTTCTCCAGCCTGGGAAGCCGTCGTACCACAGTGTGGCCAGCAGCTGCTGGCAGTTTGGCTGCGCCACAAACTGAACAGAGAGAGCAAAAGAAAGACAGAGACTGTTAGCAAACGCGGTTCAATTGTCCTTTTACTGAAATACATGAAGGCAATGCTTATCAGAGAGGAAATGATCAAAAAGATATTAAACCATGATGTGACTGAAATATCTTAAAACAATTAGCTCAGCATTTGTCTCCTGTCTTGGGGATGGCAGTATTACAAGTGGCACATAATATCATTCAGTGGCATTTTTGCAAAGCTGCTGATAAGAAGCCAACCTTCTGGTTTGTGGAGCTTACCTTCAGATGTAAAGAAAACTTTTAATTAGTGACCAAATATGAAAAGCACCAAGAAGAGTAAAAAGTATAAATACAAATGAATTCATTTTACTCATTACTGACCTTAAATCTGTCAATGTGTAATACACAGTATCCACTGTAGTAAGCTACTTAACACACTGGAGTTTTAAAAAGGCAGTAACCTGTATCCCACATATTAAAAGTGACTGCCAAATGCTCGACGTAAATGAGATTTATTTTCTTCTGTGAGCTTATGACAAACAGAGGTTATGTCCTGCCCTGTTGCTGCTCTGCTGTTCAGGTTGCTTTCTTTTACATCTCATTACAGCCTATCCACTAATACTGTTGGCACTGCACCAAGGGCTGTTTGTCCCCATCAGCCCTTCAGCTGCCCTCTGAGTCACCAAGAACCGAGTCATCTTTTCTTTTCTCCCGCTTTTGTCCTCCCATGATGTCTTTACGTTTCTTCCTCCCTGCCACCATCTCTGCTCCCTCCTGTCTTTTCCCTCACTTCTCTCCTCTGAGTCAGCACTCTTGTCTGAGTCTTGTCTTTTTGTTTTTACTGTACTGTTTCCATTGTTGGTTTCTGTCCTTTGTGTCCTTTCTTCTCCCCTAGCTTCCTTCTTCCCTCACTTGTGTTTAGGTGATTAGTCTGGTCTGATAATCCCAGGATTGCAGTTAAGTCTTATACTCTGAAAGGTGAGTAAGTTTTCTATCATTGTTGTTTATGCGTTTGTGTATGATAATCTAAAAGGTGTGTTTCCCTTTAAAAGAAAGAGCCTATTAAATAAATGGGGGTAAATAAACATCCATCTCAAATGTGCACATCCACCTTCACAAAAGGACACACTGTTATCAACCAAACATTTAGCTAAAAGCTTAAAGATGCAAACTGCCAAAAAGTGTGCAGGTCAGTGACTGAAACTGTCAATCAAACATGATGATCTGCTAGTTTCTGACAGCTGAACATTTGGTAGCGGCTGCAGATTTCCACACTTTCCTGTTTTTGTACAAGTGTGAGTTCGTTTCATAAATAATTGATCCCGGCACATTTTATTCATCCGTAACCGACTCTTAGCTTTCTGTGTGGGACTGTACCTCCGAATTTCCACTATTACAGCTTCTAACTTTGCAGAATGATGTGATACTAAATATCATGGGAGCTATCCATGGTGCTGATCCTACAGTGAGCCCCACAGCAGATACAGTACAAGCTGTGCCTAATTATCACACTGTGCTCATGCTGCCATTACTGCTGGTGGGTAACCAACTACCAACACCTGCTTAAACCTAGAAAATGTTCAGATTTTCAAGTTTCAATGTCAGTATTTCACTTTCTACACTATCTGCAAATGGCAACTATGGTATCATGAAGGTTTGGTAATGACTGTACATAGTACAGGCAGCAAAAACACTTGGTTAAATTTAAAGGTTTGGTAATGACTGTACATAGTACTGTTGGAGTTAGGCAGCAAAAACACTTGGTTAAATTTTGGAGAAGATTGTGGCTACAGCTGTTCAAAGGGAAACTTACCAAGTGTTATTGTCAGTGCTTTGGTTGTAATTGTACATGTGCACTTTTTTCCCAGTGATTTTCCTTGGTAATATTTTGAATACAAGTGTTTATTATTATGTATCAAATGTACAAATTGTTAGTTTTTATTGTACTATCCATATTTTACTGAGATCAGCACAGATTCTGTGGTAGTAGCCACAGCCATGGGAAGAACTGTGACTATTCATTGGCACACACAAACAAACACACACACACACACACACACACACATACCTGAGTCAGTTTGATACCTCTTTAACATGATGAAGGTTGTACTTGAAGTGTAATACAGTAATATAAATATACTGTATACATTTTAATAGCTAAACATGATGACTGATATAAAAACCACATTGCACCCAGGCTAACAACAAATAATAAAAGCAAAAATGTCATGTGTTCTTTAATGCTGGCCCCTAAACATATTGTAAACACTCACTAGTCTTCTAAGGTATTTAATTATCTTGGGCTCCAGACTATGGATCAGACAAAGTAAGATTGGTGAAGAAGTCACCCAGGACTCCAGACAACAATAGTAGGGATTATTAACTTTCCACTGATATTCTAAGACCCAAACAATTCACCAACCAACCAACTAAATAAAATAATCTGCATGTTAAACAACTACGTAAACAATCATTAGCTCCACATTTAAAGACTAATCCAGGTATTAACACATCTTAACACATCAAACATTTTCTAAATGGACTCAGCCTTTACTGCTAATTACTGTGTGCAGAGCCAAAGTTTGGAGAGAGACAATTGGACAGCATATACAGTACGTGTGTGTTTGAACAGGTGTTATTTGAGCAATAACAAGAAGCATTGCTTTTAGTTTTTTGGTGCAGAAGGGTGACTACACTCTACTTCATCTTGTTATGCCCGACACCTCTGACCACCAATAACCTGAGCGAGCAATAACATATGCACTCGCACACCGGTCATGTTTTTACTTTGTTGGCTACAGATCGAGTTGTTTAATGGTGTATCTGTTTATGTAGTGTGTGAAAATCTGTGTTTGTGTGTTTGTGTGGGTGTGAGATTTAATTATCTGGATGAAATTATACAAGTGGATAAAAGGAGAAAAGAGGGGAGGACAGAGATAAAGTACTAGAAGTCAAACCAATGAGGCTCCTCCCTCTTCCTTGACTTCCTTTCCTCCCCATCCTATGCTCTTTCTCTTCCCCTTTCCCTCTCACAACCTTTAATCCTTTTTCCTTTTTGCCCCTCCTCTTCAGTGTTTTCATCTCTTCACCTCATTGTCTATTATTCCCATAACAAATCCCTTCATCCTTAATATGCCTCCTCTTTCTTTCTCCTCCTCCCTTCTCTCTCCGTCTGTTTCCTTCTCTCCCTCCCTATCACTAATTCTCTTCCTCCTTAGTGGTCCTCCTCTTCTCTTCATTTTTTGCCCCTCTCTGCCTCACTTCTTCACTTCTCCTTTCTAATATCCGCCTCATTCTCTCTTTTCTCCTCACCTTGTTTCATTCATCTTTTTCCACCTCTCCACCTGTTTTCTTGCCCACTCCTTTTACTCCACAACTCTTCCTTTTTCCTTATTTACTCAAACCTTTAATTACCTCCACCAAGGAGGTTATGTTTTCGTTGTGTGTGCATGTGTGTGTGTGTGTGCTTGTTTGTTGGTTGGTTAGCAGAATTACAGACAAAGAGCTGGATGGATCACTAGCATATTTGGTACAGACACAATAAGAAGTGATATTTTGGTTGAAAAAGGTCAAAGGTTAAGGTCATAAAAATAAAAATAAAAATAAAATCACAAAAGCGCTCATCTTTAACATGAGGCAAAGTTTTAAAAAATCAGATCATCAAAAGCTATCAAAATCATTTTTTGTTTGCAATCTGACACGTATATGTAGAGTGGCAGTGTCTATCACCAGACCAAGTTTCATCCGGATCTGATCCAGATCAAGGATTTTAGGATACATTGTGTTGTTCTGGATCTCATTTTTCATAAGGCATCCATTTGTGTGATCGAATGCTGTACCTTGGCGGCAGTACATGCACTCTCTGAGTGCACTTTTTCTTGTCTTTCTTCTCCTTTGCCTCCTCTTTTCCTCCTTGTCTCTGTCACTTTCTCTGTCCATTCTGTCTTTACCCATCTCCTTTTCCATCTCTCTCTCTATCCCTCACTCAGTTCCATTTTAGTTTCCTGTTGCTATGGCAGCAGTATGCTAATGACAGAGTTGATCTCTGGGCTCTACTAAACTACAGCAGTCTGCTCCTTCCTCTCCTTTTCTCTTTCTGCCTCAGTTTCATTGAGCTTCAGTCAGCAAACATCCTCGTCATAGTTTACTAGTCAGACCAAAACACTTGGCGCTGTTGTAACGGCTCCGTTCAGAACAGCTTCCCAACCAATCAGGGAGCTGCATGAGATTAGGAAGGAGAAAACTAAACCACCAGTGGGGGCAGAGCAAACAGATCTGAGGAATAACGTGTTTTTTGATGTTATGTAGTTATGCAGCACATTGCTGGCGTAACATGCATGTATTATTTAGGTGACCACTTTAACCAACAATCAAATAATGAATTACAATTCCATTCAATTACATAACACCACTGAAATCTGGGGTGGTGGGTGGTTTGTTTCATCATCAGTGGTCAGTGGATATCAACCACCTTCAGCAAGAGTAGCAAGGCAAATACAATAATAAAACTAACTATATAAAACTAAGTCAATAAGTAAGTATATTTCCATGTTTGAAGAGTAAACAGGGACACCACTGGAAAACATTTTTAGACAAGTTTACATATATAAGACATTTTCATACACAAAGTAAATTCAAAGTGTTTAACACATTGCACACAGACAAATAGAACATTAAAATGCAAGATTAAATACAATTTAAAAACAACAATTACATGATAGCATATAGCAGCATATGCAAATATAGACACCCTGTACTTCTAGGATACTCTGTAGCCCTTTACTTCAGTCTTCCCTAGACTAACCTCTGCATACGTTAAATCTAGAGGTGGATGTACTTTCTTCTGGAAACTCTAGTGTTTAGTTCAAACTAATTAATACATAGATAATTTTTAAAAGCTCCTGTTATGTTTTTCAGTAGGGTCTTGTTGTTGGCACACTGTTTACATGTTGCAATTAAAGAAAACTAAAGTGATCATGAACTTGAAACTGGAATGTTAAAGGAAACA